ACTCACCTCAGCCTCCCAAAGGCACGGGATTACAGGCTGAGCCACCGAGCCCAGCTGGTCCCAGCTACTCTTGTGGGCTGCACAGTCTCTGTCTGTGAAGGCAGAGGGTTCGGTGAGATGCCTCTTGGCTTTGCGGTCTCCAGCTCTAGCATCCCCTAATTCTGGAGTTAACCTTTTGTCCTTGATTGAAATTTTTCTCATTTTTGCTCCCTGCTCCCATACCTCCATGTTTCTTTTGTTTTTAAAGTGAGCCAACACATGTTTAGTTTCTTGTCTCTTTTACAAACCTCTCACTTGTGTAAATGTGATGAAACTCATTCAGGTATTTGTCAAACTGCTAAAAGTAGACCCTGTGACCACTCGCTTACCAACAGCAATACATGCTTAACACCCTCTTCAGGGACACCAGTGAGCAAATGAGATTTGTTCCTACCCTCAGGGAGCTGACAGTGTGGTGGGGTGGACATAATGCTCACTTCCATAACAGTGTGATGTCAACCTAGAAACTGCTTGAAAGGAAAGCTGCGTAGGACTAGAATGGTAATTGGGGGCACTGACCACAAGTGGGAATTAGGAGTGAACAGGGGAAGGAAGGAAAGCTCAGGCAGAGGGATCTGTGAGAAGGTGGCTTTGTGGTATGGAAGAAGAGAGGATCAACAGGTCTCACCACCCAAACTGCCAAGACCCCAAAGGTGAGTTGAGGGGAGCATTCCTGTCCAGGCAGCAGGAACAGCCAAGCAGAGCTCCACCTGGGCTCTGGTCTGCCCTCAGCTGGAGGGCTCTTGTTAGCAAGGCACCTGGAGGTTTGAGGAACAGTCACATCCCCTCGGGTTATTGGGAATGAGGTTTATTGGCTGGGTAGTATTGATAACAAACTAGCATTAAGTGTGTATTCTTGCTAAACATTCTTGAATGAATTTAGGAACATTCAGTCCTCACAGCAGTATTTGGAAGCACAGGCATTTCTTTACAAGTGAGGCAGTGGAGGCCAGGGAGGTTGAATCACTTGCCTAAGGCTACATAGCTGTGACGGGGCAGAGCTGTGGTGTAAGTCCAGGTCAGGTTTGGGGCCCAGGACCCTGCTAATTTAGCCCATAACTGACCAGCCTGGGGATCAGCCAAAGGCAGTCATTCTCAGGCCTACACTGGGTGGCAAGAAGTTGGCCCAACCTTGTCTTCTTAGGGCACCAGGAACATGAGAGTGGGCAGAAGAGGACATGGTAGCTCCTGCTCAGTCATCCCCCCATCATGGGTGGGTGATATGGACACACTGCTCAGACCACCATCCTCAGGAAGGTACAGCTGTAGAGCATGGCCTCCTGAGGCCCTGGTTTGCACATTGTTGCCATCAGGACCCAGCAGCAGTCCAGGCGACCTGGCCATCTTGTCCCTTAAAGGCAAGTGACCACTGTAACCTGTTCTGACTATACTTGGCTCAAAACAGCCTTTCTGGCTCAACTGCTTCTTTTATTACCATGTCCTCTTCTGCCTGCTATCATGTTCTCAGTGCCCTAAGAACACAAGGCACCAGCCACAGTGGCTCACACCTGTAATCCCAGTACTGTGGGAGGATTGCCTAAGCCAGGAGTTGGAGATCAGTCTGGGCAACTTGGTGAGACCTCTTCTCTACAATAAATCAAAAAATTAGCCAGACGTGGTGGTATACTCCTATAGTTCCAGCTACTTGGAAGGCTGAGGTGAAAGGATTGCCTGAACCCAGCAGGTCAAGGCTGCAGTGGCTGTGAATGTGCCACTGCACCCCAGTCTGGGTGACAGAGTGATACTCTGACTCGAAAAAACAAACAAAAAAGTGGGCAGGCCTGAGGATGACTGCCTTTGGCTAAGCCCCAGGCTGGTCAATTGTGGTCAGATGAGTAGGGCCCTGGGCCCCAAGTCTGGCCACTTACACATGAGGAGCCACTTGTGCCACATTCTTCCCTGGTGAATGGTGTTGGTGGGCTCTTGGGGGCTCATGGATGGAGGCTTCTTTTGATATGTCATAGCCAATTCACAGGCACCTGATGACCTAGCTGTGACCTGAGGTGACTCATCTTCATGATAGCAGCCACCATCCAGTGAGTGATGTCCATTTAGTAGTTCATCTCAAGGAAACAATCCTTAAAACAAAAGACTCAGTGCACAATGATGTTCACTACCCAGTTAATTACACTAGTAAACCCAGCCTAAGTACCTAATGATAGGGTGGGGAACTCTGGACTGTCCATTTAGTGGGTTCTTTGAAAAAGGTAGCAGTGTACATACATTTTATGTTTCCATGTTCATTGTACATGGAGACATGCTTTAATTTCAAGAGTACACTCGTGTGTATAGACAGTATGTTTACAGCTGGGCCCGAAGCCTCCCCTGGGTGGGAACGGTGATGCTGATGTCCCGGCTCAACCTTTCTTCTTCTTCCTACTATTCAGTACTTAGAATTCTATAAGAGCAGCCCTCCTGCTTTAGGTTCTAAGCATTATGAATTATTGTCTCCTTGATTGCCGGAAACCAGACAAGACTGTGTGGTCCTGGGAAAGGAGCCAACAGGCCTGCATTTGAATCCTGTCCCTACTGCTCATCTGCCATGTGACCACAGACAGGTCACCTTACTACTCAGAGCTCCTGCTGTCTAATTGGCAAATGAAGATGGTGATGCCACCCACTGAGTAGCTATGTGGCCTGGCACTGACATACTTCAAGTGCTCAGCACTGTGCCTGCCACATAGCAAGCTCTCTATAAATAGTGTCACTGTGAACTGCCAGTCCAATACTCAACAATTAGGGGTATGGGGTGGAGCTCGGCAGAAAGGGCTTCACCGTCCTGCTCAATTTCCATCTGCTCTCCCCTCAGGCATTCCCATCAAGAGTACCATGGACAATCCCACCACCACACAGTACGCCAACCTCATGCACAGCTTCATCCTGAAGGCACGGAGTACCGTGCGTGAAATTGACCCCCAGAATGACCTCACCTTCCTTCGAATTCGCTCGAAGAAGAATGAAATCATGGTTGCACCAGGTAAGGGGTCTTCTGCCGCCCGCTTGGGAGCAGACCCTCACAGCACATTCTCCATGGCTTATCAGAAGGCCGGGCCCATTGGTGTTCCTGGAGGGTGCAGGGAGGTCCTGGGGAGCTGAAAGAATCGAGTCAATGCCTCATTGCCTAGCCGGCCTCCAGCTGATGTCTGCCAACAAATCCTCACAGTGTCTAGGCCACAGTGAAGAGTCGGTCTCATGGGGGAGATACACACATAAGCATAACACCATATCACTCCTGCCTTGATAGGGGGAAATTCAGAGGCGCATACAGGACGTAGAAGAGGATATGGCCAGATCTGCCTGGTTCTGTCAGCAAAGGCTTCCCAGAAGAGGGGATATTGGAGCTGAATCTTGAGGGGACAGGAAACGGTGTGAGCAAGGTGGAGTAGCGGGAAAACCTGTTTGCAGGAAAAAGAATTCAGTAGTTCTAAGTCAAAATGTAAAGCAAAAATATTGTATTGTCATTGTATCCTTGAAAAAGTAGTTTTTACAGGGCTGGGCTCAGTGGCTCAGCCTGCAATCCTAGCACTTTGGGAGGCCGAGGCGAGTGGACTGCCTGAGCCCGCGGGTTTGAGACCCGCCCAGGCAACTTGGCGAGACCTCGTCTCTACAATGAATCAAAAACTAGCCGGGCGTGGTAGCATACGCCTATAGTTCCAGCTACTTGGAAGGAGGAGGTGGAAGGATCGCCAGAGCCCAGCAGGTCGAGGCTGCGGTGGCCAGGAGCGGCCACTGCACTCCAGTCTGGGCGACAGAGTGAGACTCCTACTCAGAAAAAAGAAAAAAGAAAAAGTATTTTTTACCCACTTGGAAAGGCCAGTTCTTTCTCTAGGCTCCATGCAGCCAGCCTTGCCTCCCACACTGGAACAGATTGCTGTGTTTTACATGGAGAGTTGGGCTACTTCTGTGCCTGTGTGCTAGAGTAGTCCCTGTCTTTCGTCCTTAAGATCATTCTTGGAGTGCTGAGATGCTTATCCTGGGAGCAGCCCACAAGGACTGGGGACACAGGAAGGACAGTAGGGCTGCCTTCCTCCCTGGCTCCCTCACTGTCACTCATGGACTAGGATGTGGACAGATGCCCCACGACTGCTCTTCCTTGTTGCTTCTTTCTTGCCCTCGCTCTTTTGGCTGAGCTACCTAGTTGAGTGTAGCTCCATAGCTATGTAGCCGCACAATGCACTGCAGCTTATCTAGGGCAGGAGAACGTGGAGTGCGAGGTAAGGCTTTGGTCCAATTTAGAAGAGGCTGCAAATGCCAGACTGAACTGTGTGGACTTGATCTTGTGAGCAAAGGTTTTTAGGGCAGGAGGTGATATGATTGTGTCACATGCCAACCAGTGCCTGATCTATCAGGGAAAAAGACTGCAAGAGGTACAGAATCTGTTTTCCCAGCTTTTTCTCTTATAAGCATGACCTTGGGCAACTCACAGGACACATTCATGTCCTTATCTGTAAAGTGTCGAGCAGAGAACTGTGCTGCTCTGGTCTTTGAGACACCCCGTCTGGCTGAATGTGTTGGCTCAGGTTGGGAAAAAAGCTAGGATCAAATGTGAACTGAAATCCCTCCCGACACTTCATATTGTGTGTGACTACAGAGGACAAAGCTTCACTTTCCTAAAAGTCAGGCCAGGAATGATCCCTCTGTTCACCCTGTGCCTCAAAGCAGACCTTGTGCTCCCCAATGGTCCATCAGGGAACTTAGAATGTGAGGCAATGGAGCCAATTATGTGGTCTCTAAAGCAGACCAACTCTCCATGAACAGTGTCTCTTGGCTATCCATGGACCAGCTCAGCAGTAAAGGTATCTCCAGCTTGGGCCAGAGGCCTACAGGCTTGTCAGTGGAGGCGAGAATGATGTAGCCAGACCTTACCTGGGCAACACTACAGAGAGTACACCTGCTCCCGTGCTCACCCTCAGTCTGTCTCTCTCTCTTTCATGCACACACATTGTGTTATACTAGAGGGCATGTGACATGTTGAGGTTGTCTTAAACACAAGCCGGACGTGGTGGCTTACGCCTGTAATCCCAGCTCGTTGGGAGGCAGAGGCAAGAGGATTGCCTGAGCCCATGAATTTGAGACCAGCCTGGGCAACATGGTGAGACCTCGTCTCTACAGTAAATCAAGAAAAATATAGCCAGGCATAGTGGTTTGCGCCTTTAGTTCCAGCTATGTGGAAGGCTGAGGCGGAAGGATCATCTGAGCCCAGCAGGTCGAGGCTGCAGTACCCATGAGCGGGCCACTGCACTCCAGTCTGGGCAACAGAGTGAGATTCTTACTCAAAAAAAAAAAAAAAAAAAAAAAAACATTAAAAAAAATAGAATTTCTTTCAGGCTGCCTTTCAGAGCCCCAGACTCTGTTCCCAGGGGCCCTGCTGAGCATGCTCTGGGTTTCCTTGTCACTAGTCTAACCAGATGCTTATCGACTTTCTTTTCTTTTTTTAGTTAGAGTCTCACTCTGTCACCCAGGCTGGAGTGCCGTGGCATGGTGACGGCCACCGCAGCCTCATCCTGCTGGGCTCAGGCAATCCTTCTGCCTCAGCCATCCAAGTAGCTAGAACTACAGGTGTGTGCCACCATGCCCAGCTAATTTTTTTTTTCAGTTGTAGAGATGAGGTCTCGCCAAGTTGCCCAGGTAGGTCTCGAACCCATGGGCTCAGGCAATCCTCTCACCTCCGCTTCCCTGGGATTACAGGCATGAGCCACCACACCGGGCTGCTTATCCTCATTTTTAAGTCTGTCTCCTCCCCTAGACAGTAAGTTCCATGAGGGCAGAGGCTTGTAAACACATCATAAACATTTAACAAATATTGGTTGAATAAATAAATGACTTTCTCCATTGCTGACACCCCACCACTGTGGGTCAGAGGTGGGGTCAGCAGTGGAAATGGGGTTAGGAATGTCCACAGGGCATGGTATTTATTTATTTATTTTTGAGTTGGAGTCTCTGTTGCCCAGGCTGGAGTGCAGTGGCATGCTCACTGCCACCGCAGCCTTGACCTGCTGGGCTCAGAAAATTCCTCTGCCTCAGCCTTCCAAGTAGCCAGAACTACTGGCACACGCTACCATGCCTGACTGATTTTTTTTTTTTTTTTTTTTTTGTAGAGACGAGGTTTTGCCAAGTTGCCTGGGCTGGTCTTGAACCTGCAGGCTCAGGCAATCCACTCGCCTTGGCCTCCCAAAATGCTGGGATTACAGGCTAAGCCACCGAGCCCAGCCTGGGCATGGTATTTAGGATGAAATACTTGTATGTGGCCAAGAAAAAACATTGGGTGGGTGGCCAGAACTCCTGTGTTCAGGAGCTACTGACTGACCAGAGCCTCAGAAGCATTCAGGCTGGATTGCCTTAGCATCACCGTAGAGCACAGGCCTTCAAGGAGTAGCCCCTGGCAGAGCACAAGCCTAGCAGCTGTGTGGCTGAGGTGGCCCTTTGGGACTCTAATTAGCACCCTACACCTTGTGAATAACTTGGAGTAGCCCGGCCCAGGAGGGCGATTCACAGCTCTTCCCGCCCACCTGATCTGACATGTTGATCAAACTGAGAAGTTGCTGCCCACAGCACAAAGGGCAGCAGGTAGTTTCAGACAGTTTGGCTTCCAACATCTGTACCAAATTTCACCCCACCTGGCCCAGAACTGCCCTTGTGAAGAGATGTTTGCACCTGAAGTCCCAGTCACTGGGAAGGCTGAGTCAGGAGGATCACTTGAGCCCAGGAGTTTGAGGTTACAGTGAGTTATGATCATACACCAGCCTGGACAACAGAGTGAGACCCTGTCGTCAAAAAAAATACAGACTTCTGGTTTTCACTTGTTAACCTCGCTGATATAAAGCTAAGGTAAGTCAGCGTAAACAACTTTGAACACATTGTCTCCCACAAAGCACTTGAAGTGGTATTAGTGGTTTAGGGCTTGGTAATTTAGAATAAGACACTGGTACTATTGATTGTGTCTGTTTTTAACAGTGATTTGTTAATTATTTGTGTTAGGGATTTTTTATTTTTATTTATGCAAATTACGTAGCTGTAAAACTGTTAGTCTTTTTATTTCTGTTTCTACCCAGTTGCAACAACCCATCACTTTGGAAAGAACCAAGCTTAGGCTTGAATCTAAACAGGCACAAAGCATACATGGTTGAGGCCCTGCCATTTCACTCATGCTCAGCAGGGGGCAGCAGGCCAGAGGAGTTCAGAGGGTCAAACCCGGCTTCCTATCCCCACCCCACCCCACCCTGTGTCTCTTCCTTGGTTTAGGCAAGACTTTTAACTGTTTGAGCCTCAGTGTTTTCTGAGCAATTTGGGGATTCCTTGAGGTGTCATGAGAAGTGGTTGGCCCAACAGGGACACAGAGAAGCCTTGATAACTCTTAAGTAGGTTGAAACACCTGCTTCTCCACTTTCCTCCTCTATAAAATGTAAGGCAGTCAGACTCACCTCTGAGGACTTCTACTTGTATGATTTCTTGGTGAACATTCCTCCTCACTGGGCTGGATCCCTGGAGCTGGAATCCAGGTAAATTTGTCATCCCCTTTTGACCTAGTACCTCTGAAATTTTCTTGTCCAGAAGGCTCAGGAAAGCCAACTTGTGATAAGCTGAGCTTGTGATAGAAATGGACATAACCCAAGACCAGTGAGGTTATGGCTGGAATTCTACCTTTGACACTAACTAGCTGTGTAACCTTAAGCTAAAGGTCCTACCCGAACTTGCAGCATCAGCATCACCGGAAACGTGTTGGAAATGCAGATTCCTGGGTTCCACCCCAGGCTCACTGTATCAGGGCTCTGGGGGTGGAGCCAGCAGCCCTGCAGGTGATTGGGATACCCTGTAGTTTAAGAACCACTCTTTAGGCAATTCATTGAAACTCTGAACCTGAGTGCCCCCACCTGGAAAACTGGGATGAGGCTCCTACCTACCCGCTGCTACAATTGTGGGGAGGATTAGAAAGAGGATGCCCTGCAGCGTCTGCTGCCTGCGCTCCCACAGGAAACTTGAATGCTTGTCTTCTGTTCTCCCAGTAACTGGAGGTAGCCTGAGCATTGATGCTTTTAATTGCTTTCCTTCCCTCCCTCATCTTACAGTAGTGACTTAATGATTTCTTTGCTTTCTGGTGTGATTTTCTTTCATTTTATGTTTAGTGATTTGTTTTTTCCGTTTTTCTCTTTTGCAGATAAAGACTATTTCCTGATTGTGATTCAGAATCCAACTGAATAGGCACTCGCCTGGCTACCTGTGTCATTCCTTAATTTAATCCCCCCAAGAGTAATTAATCATGTCAGCACACTGGCATGTGGAAATCGCCTTAGAGCCCAGTCAGACCAATCCAGTGACCACAGGTGGGCTGGCAGCCCTGCTTGCTCCACCAGAGGACTCCTGCTGCACCAATCTTCCCCAGAGTCGGGGCAGAGCGGGGAGGGTGCCTCTCTCCTCACTTCTGGGTTTTGGAGCAAGAGCTTGTGAACAGCCCACACCCAGCTTCCTTCTGACTTTCAGTTTGCTTTGTTGCCCTTGGAAAAGGCTGTTTTTCTTTAACTAAAAATAACTGAAATGCTTACCCTGCTGTTGTGTCTTTAAACACTGGGTTGAAGAGGCTTCTTCCTGCATAATCATGTCTAAGGACTGAGCTCGTTGCCGCCTCTGGCCCCTGGTGGTAGATTGTGTTCATGGCCTCTGAGAGGCCTGATCTGTAATGCCCCTGTGGCCACACTCACTGAGCACAACTTGGTGTATAACTGGTGCCCTGTTTCTGGGCTTCTTGCCCCTCGGCTCCTTTTATCATTTCCCACACCTGCCAGTGTTTTGAAAGGTTTTTTCCTCCTACCCTGCACAGGGGAAAGGAGGAGAGTGATGTTTACTGAGGACCCAGAATGCGCCTGATATGTCATGCAGTCTCTGCAGACTGAGGGTACCACTGTTCAAGCCACCTTAGAGATGGAGAATCGGGGTCTAGAAAATGGCTTGCCCAGGCCCTCACAGCTTGGAGCACAGGCCTCTGACTCAAATAGTGCTGCTGTTTCCATGTTGCCTGCTGCAGACATCCTGGATGGGCCTGTTCACCAGCGTGAGCTCATTCTGGGTAAGCACCTGCCTCCCTGCAGACACGGGGTTCCCAAAACTTGCCTGTACTCAGTGTTGCTCTAGACCACCCATCATTCAACAGCACTTGATTTTCTCCCTCCCGAAACCACATGTGTTTATTTTTTTTATTAGGTTTTTCTTTTGATCTTTTGTTTCTTGTTAGGCAAAAAATTTTGAAGATCCAAAGCTCTAGAGTGTGAACCTGGAAAGCCCCTTCATTGTCCTTCTCCTCACCCCAGAAGTAACCACAGTGCCAGTTCTTCCATCTAGCCAAAGCACTTTCTCAAATTTTCCAGTGAAGTTTCTTTAGTGATACAGAGGGAGTAAGACATGTACCTTTGGGAGCTCAGGGGTCTAATTTATAGAAGGTGGCAAAATTTCTTCAAATCTCACATGCAAGATATAATAGGAATTTTCCACTCTATAACATATCCATGATTGTCTTAACATAAAAATAATTCTTTCAAATCATTTCCTCCAAATCCTCAAGTAAAATTGGTTATCTTGAGAAACTACTGCTGTTTACCCTTTCCCTGTGTGCCCAAGAGGCACTCCCTGAGAGAGGGTGATTGCAGACCCTGCATGGTAATTATCTCCTAGTTCCATGTTTTAAAAGAAAGTGGGGTAGTAGTATCTTCCTTTTTGTTCTCAGAAGCTGTTGGAGGCCAGATCGAGGCCTGAGGCTTCTGTCTTGGCTTGAGTTTCTCCAAGAAGGATCACGGGGAAGGAGGTCAGAAGGTGAGGCTTGTCCCTGGAGGAGTTCTGGAGGAGTTGTGGCTCCAGAGCGAGGTCTGGATAGGGCTTGGGGCCGGTCTCCTCCTTCCCTTAGTCCCTCTGCCACTCACTCTTGTTTGCCTTAAAATTCTCCATGTTAAAACGGTCCTTCGAGGTCCTGGGGGAAATGTAGGCTCAGTCTGTCTTTGCTTCCCCATCTCCTGGGCATCAGGAGCCCACTGTGGGTGCATTCAGATTTGTAAATGCAGCAAGCACAACTCCTTGGACTCATTTTAAGGTATAAGAGCTGATAACCACAGAAGAGGTCTACAGAAAAAAGATGTAAACATTCAGATTCTTAAAAGTTTAAGTAATGGTATTACACAAGCAAAAACCCTAGTGTTTCTGTACTTAAAAGCAGCACTTGTACAGGAATACAGCACCTGTCAAAGTTGGAAACTGACAATTGTCATAGGCCTAGAGGAAAGGGCATGGTCTCTGGGTTTCAGAGGAACACTTGCCAAAACAGCAAAAGGATGTCCACACCTAGTATTTTATTATGAAAATGTCCAAACATGCAGAAATTGAGATAATGATATATCTTCCATCTAATTTTTTTTTTTTTTTTTTTTGAAGTAGTAGTCTCTCACTCTGTGCCCAGGCTGGAGTACAGTGGCATGCTCCTCGTGGCCACCGCAGCCTCAACCTGCTGGGCTCAGGCAATCCTTCTGCCTCAGCCTTCCAAGTAGCTGGAACTACAGGCATGCGCCACCATGCCCGGGTAATTTTTTTTTTTTTTTTATTGTAGAGATGAAGTCTCGCCATGTTGCCCCTCTCGCGTCCGCCTCCCAAAGTGCTGGGATTACAGGCATGAACCACCATGCCCAGCTCTTCCATCTAAATTCTAGTTAACCATTTTGCTGTATTTCTGTGCCACATAACTTTGCATTCCTCTATCCAACCTGCTCTGTTACGCATTTCAGAGTAAGTTGCAGACAGTACTCACCCCTAAGGGCTTCCAGATGCATGCATATCACCAGCTTGCTTTCCTTTTTGGAGATTTACATTCAGTGGAACATACAAATCTTAAGTGACAAATACGAACCCTGTGTAACCTCACCCCTTCAAGGTAACATCCACCCCAGAAAGTTCCCTCCTGCTGCTACCAGTTGGTCTAGCCCACTCCCAAGAGGCAACCCTTCTGATCTCCAGGTGTGACTTCCCCCCCCACACACACACACACACAATACAGCTCTTGCCTGGGATCCCTGTGGCTCAAGGAAGTGGTTGCTTCTCCGAAAATTCTGCAGCTGCCATCTCTTACGACTCCACATCACCCCTGACCTGGTTCCTTGAAATTCTGATCTTCCACTGGGCGCGGTGGCTCAAGCCTATAATCCTGATGCTTTGGGAGGCTGAGGCAAGAGGACTGTCTGAGCCTATAGGTTCAAGACCAGCCTGGGCAACACGGTGAGACCTTGTCTCTACAACAAATCAAAAAATCAGCCGGGCGTGGTAGTGTGTGCCTGTAATTCCAGCTACATGGAAGGCTGAGGCGGAAGGATCGCCGGAGCCCAGCAGGTCAAGGCTGCGGTGGCTGTGAGCATGCTACTACACTCCAGTCTGGGTGATAGAGTGAGACTCTAACTCAAAAAAAAACTTCTGATCTTCCTCTGTGAGCTGGTATTGCCATTTCTCCAAAAATTAAAAAAATGCCCCAGGGATTATAAGGCTTTCTCTCCTTTCCTGTTTGGCTTTGAAACACTGCACTTTTGTATATATTTTCTTTTTTTGAGTCAAGATCTCATGCTGTTGCCTAGACTGGAGTGCAGTGGTACCATCATGGCTCACCACAGCCTCGACCTCCTGGGCTGAAGGGATCCACCCTCCTCAGCCTCCCAAGTAGCTGGGACTGCAGGTGCACACCACCACACCTGGCTCATTTTTTAATTTTTGTGTAGAGACAGGGTCTTGCCATGTTGCCCCAACTGGTCTCGAACTCATGGCTCAAGCAGTCCTCCCTCCCAAAGAGCTGGGGTTACAGGCATAAACCACTGCACCTGGCCTTTTGTACATATTTTCATTGAGCATCACACATTGAGCCATCTTTCCACACATTCTGGTTTGTCTCTATCAAATCCCCAGAAAAAGAAAAAATGAGAAATGAAGGGCTCATACATTTCATCCCCACAGCAGAGAGAAATGCTAAGTTGTAGCCCATGCCTGTAGTTCCAGCAATTTGAAAGGCTGAGGCGGAAGCATCACCAGAGCACCGCAGGTTGACACTGGGGTGGCCGTGAGCGTGCCACTGCACTCCAGCCTGGGCGACGGAGTGGGACTCCAACTCAAATAAATAAATGCTAAGTTGTCAAACACATCAAATCAGCAGACACTCTCCCCTGGTCCATAAACTTAAGCTGCTGGTCATATGTAATAAGGAAAGCACAACAATTGCAGAACGCGTGCCCATCAAAGGCAACTTTATTTCGGTCTCTCACTGTCTAAGTTTACTCTCTAGGGTTCGTTCTCCACCTGCCCCTAAATGGAATGTAGAGCAGGCCCTGGCCTGGGAAGATAACGTACCCAGTCAAGTACAGGAGTGGCGCAGCTTCCCCAGCTTGGGCCTGCTGGAAGCCTGGGTCTGGAGGAGGACAGCAGCAGCCGCTGGGCCTTGGCCTTACCCGCCCGCCTTGTGCTTTCTGGCCCAGGTTGCCGAGATGTGGACGAGATGGGGGGAGGTAAGGTCCAGGTTTACTGAGACTGCTGTGAACTGGCCTCTGGCCCTCTGAGTTTCCAAAGGCATCCCAGTCCTTTCTGCCGGGCAGCCTCACCCTTGGGGTGCACTGCCATCGGTCAGCTCTCCCTGACTTTCCTCTTGGTCCCTGGCTCTCAGACCCCCCTCTGCAGACTCCTCCTGTGGGTTCAGGGTGAAGCAGGAACCCCAGCACCTGGCGAGACTCACAGCATATCAGTAACCTCTAAAATTTGTTCTGTAACTTTCACCTCCTTTATTTATTTATTTATTTATTTATCTATTTATTTATTTATTTATTTATTTATTTTGAGTTGGAGTCTCACCCTGTCGCCCAGACTGGAGTGCAGTGGCCGCTCCCGGCCACCGCAGCCCGACCTGCTGGGCTCCGGCGATCCTTCCGCCTCAGCCCTCCAAGTAGCTGGAACTACAGGCGCACACTACCACACCCGGCTGATTTTTTGATTTATTGTAGAGATGAGGTCACGCTGCCCAGGCGGGTCTCGAACCCGTGGGCTCAGGCAATCCAAGATCTCAGTATATTTTCTAGGCTGGTCTTGAACTTCTGGGCTCAAGTAATCCTCCCACCTCAGCCTCCTAAAGTGCTGGGATTACACGCACAAGCCACTGCGCCCAGCGAGACTTTTTAGGAATAATTTAGTATTAGTGCATATACACTGACATAAAATAAGGCCAAAATTACAGAAAAATTTTTTAAAATCTACAACATAAAGCAAACCCAGAGCATGTGTGTTCAGCTACAGACAATAGCCATGGAGGCAGAATAATTCACCCTCCGAAGGGGCTATAACTGCTGGAAGATGTAGAAGCCAGGGGAAGGGCAGTAAGAGTCAAATTACCTTCTATGGTAAGAACTAAAGACCCCAGAAAACCTCAGTGCTTAGCGACATGAAGCCAAATATCAGAAGGAACAGCTGTAAGTGTTTAAAGCACTATTTGATTATTTTACCTACCCAAGCATTTGAGTTTGCAATAATCTTATTATATGC